CCCCAAAACCCCAAAACCCCAAAACCCCAAAACCCCGAAAAGTATTAATACAGTTGAATTATTAATAATGGACCTCTAACAACTTGTATTATTAATCATAAGAGTCTTACTTAATAATAATCAACATTTGGTGTTCTCCAAATTGCAAGAGTTCTCTTGATGTTTAAAAATTAATTTCTGGGCAAAAAGTACCTTTTAAATTATATATCTAAGGCAGGCATTAAGAACTTTAAACTGCTTTAATTTTTAAACACTTTTAGTTGATTTTTAAAAGTTCCTCTATCTAGAAAATATAGAATCTCTTTGAATTTTATTTTAACCACAAATTCTAAATGATTCTCTGCATTGGCCTACAGTGTTATTGAACAAATCTGAAGCTAATATTCAGGACTAGAAGAAGGTTAAAGAAAGCAAGATACGAGAAAACAAGTATCCATAAGAAGATTAAGCAGGTGAATTTTAGGATCTGAGAGACTCTACGTATCAATAGAAATTATGTGAGAGTACGATAAGGCTATAGAAAAATTAAAGTGGTTATAGTTTTCAGTTTGTAAACTTCTTTTCTTTTAGCCTAAAAGTTCTATTTTATTCTTGGCCTGTCAAAATACGCGCCAATTTATGGACCATAAATGCTATGGCTTAATACATCCTCTGAGGCCTGGCCTACATTAATAATAATATATACTATTTGAGCACACTGCTCAAATCTGTCTCTTGTTGCTGATAATCGTGTTTTAGAAATTAGGAACAATGCCTTAAACTGTTTGCAGAATTTGGGATAAAATTCGCAAATTGTCTTAATAACCACTTTTCTTAAGCTTTAACGTGTGAGAAAAGTTGACTGGCTTAGCTTATCCCTCTCTAATTTTGATAATCAAGAGTCTAAGAAAGGAGTGCAGTGAGCAAAATTTAAAACAGTTTTTAAGTTTGTGATATTTTTAATTTACGTTATATTATGCGAGAGACCAAGGAATCTATAAATATTATTATAAAGATTCGGTTTGGTTTCAGCAGATTGCTCAATTGCATTAAGACGAGAGAGTACACAGAGCCCATATATTTTAGTAAATAATGTCTTAAAGAAGGAGGTATACTTTTTAAGAATCTTTATTGATAGTTCCAGTTTTGAAATTCTCACTAAGAGGTTCAACTAAGTACTTCAACAATATATGATCTTAATTGCCTGTTTTGATATGTAGTAAATATATAATTTACTTTCAAGACTCTTACTTCTTAACAAGTACTAGTCAAAGTTGACAAAACCCAATTTTGGACCTAATAATGATGCTTTGGCTTATCGTAAAGAGCGCATCTTGAAATCTAGCTTTACACCAAAAATCCAATCCTTGCCTAATATTTCTAAGTTGAAGGAAATTTGAGCATAATTTGTATAGAAGTATTAGTCAGCATAACTTTTTAATGTACGAAAAATTAGGGTCTTGCCTATTAGTTTCCCATTTCGTCAATGAGCAATCAATTTAACTGGGATTTTAGCTCAGTATTTTCACCTTCCACCAATTTAAGGTCGCTTTGGAGTTTCTCGATTGCCTTATATTTCTTGAGCAAGAGAACTTCAAGACTATTTATATCGTCATTAACTGCCTCAACATCTGCCTTTTTTATAGAAACAGGGTAGGAATTCCGAGACATTCACTTAGCCATAAGAGAACTGAAGTCCTGATCTACAGGCTTGCAAACTCCAAGAGATCACATAATTCTTTTATTAACACTCTCACTTTCAGAATCACTAAGAATTTCATGTGAAAATTGAGGAGATTCATAAGATTTGCCAAAGGAAGCCAGGCTTCTATTCATGCTCATGATATCTCTGCTCAACTTTTCTGAAGAGTTACATATTGTTGGTTTTAGTGAAAGTGATGATTCATCGATCATGAAAGAAGTTCCCCTCAAAGTATTACTATTTCTTCTAAATTTTGGACAAGATATCCTGGCCTTCTTTGCATGGGTAAAGTACATCCCTGAAGGGCTTGAAGATGTAATTATCGAGCACCGTTTCAGTTTCGAGCATTCAAAGTATGATTCATTCACGTCGTAAGCAGTATCGCTAGGAGTATCTTCATTGAGATCCCTAATAGATTTGGTTCTTATATTCCTAGGAAATGTTTGAGCACAGTTTCCTTTAGCTGATTTCTTTCAAGATTTCTTCTGTGGTGTCAAGAAATCACTAGAATAAAAATTCTCTGATACTTCAGATGTAAATTTCCTTATGTATCTTCTCTCAACTAAGGAACTTTGGCATTTAAACTTCATTGAATTAGTTGAAGCTGGTGAAGTGCCAGACTCTGATTGATCTTTGAAATCTTTTAGCGAAAGCATAAACTGGGGTATTCACATGTTCTTTTGTTCATTATTTTTCTGACGAACAGCAATCTTAGCTAACATGGCATCACTATCCTCTGTATAATTTCTCAAAGTATTCTTCATGATGATTATTTTTTACAATTTATTTATTTGTTCAAGGGGTTTTGGGGTTTTGGGGTTTTGGGG